ATATAATTATAAATAATATAAATTATATATATATATAATAAATATTATTATATAACTGAATCAATTTTTAATTAAAGATTAATCAAAAATCAAAATACACAAAAAATATAACACGAATATAAAGAATCAGATACACAAAAGAATAATATAATCATTACTCAATCAACAACGACAGCTTATCATTAGTTGTCTCGAAGAAACTACAAATAAATAAATAAAAAAAGAAAAAAAAAAGAAGAAAGAGAGAGAATAAAAAGAAATAGAAAGATCACGAAACGAGCGCCTGGAGATTGATTAACGGCTATGCAGGCGTGCAGGCGTGCAGGCGTGCAGGCGTGCAGGCGTGCCGGTGCACGAGGTACACTCCCTTTTCTGCGATCGTTCGAAAGAAAATAAATGAGAAGAGAGAAGTTCGCTAAGAAGAAGAAGAAGAATAAAGAAAACCTATTGCTATTGCACCGTGGAATGTTTATTTAACATTTTTGTTTCTCGCATTGGTTAAATCCGGTCCTGCGGGTTGCACCTCTTATACTTGCAATATCTTACAATATTTTTCCTTTTTTTTTCTCTAAATACATTTCTCAATCTTTCTACAGTGTGTAATTCCGCGGCTCGATATCAAAAGATCACGAACCATTAGTCCCCTTTCAATTTCTTTCCAACTTGATTTTCAAATAAATTCAACGTTCTGTTAGGGGTCGTGTCAGGACTAACTTTAAATCGCAAAACTTATTATACAGGGGGAAGGGAAGATCAGAAATAGTAAAGTAACTTCTCTATGATACTATATTATCTAATAATTATATATAATAATGATAAATTTATAAATTAAATTATGCACTACGTGTGGATAGTGAAAGATCAAACTGCATTAAGGGGAGTTTAATTAAATTGACCGTAAGATCAACATCATCATCATCTTCTTCTTCTTGCTTTTAATATCTCATTCGAAATATTAATATATAAAACGGTTTTACGTTTAGAAAAATATTTCTTTTTTAATAGAAATATAAATGTGCAACGACGTGTTTCCTTACCTTCTCCACCCCCACCCCCTCCTAATCATCTTCATCTTGGTCGTAGGTAATAACAACTTTTACAATCTTCTACTCGTGGTCACCATATAACGGAGTATCATAAACTTAACTCGACCACACGAGTAATTTCATTGGTACCATGTTATATATGTATGTGTGTATTATTTGCGTGTATATTATATTGGTATTAGTAAGAATAATAACTAACCACTACTACGAAATCATCGATCGAATCGTTTTCGTTGGGATTTCAACAATGATGATGATGATGATGATGATGATTGTATTATTTTTCAACTATCATAGAGTATGATCTGTGGTTTTGATATTACATAAAAACCAATATTATTGTTACGTTAAACCGAAGAAAGCTGGTGAAAGTTTTCATTACATTTCTCGACACTGACCCTCTTTTTTACGCGACCGTGAAAAGGAAAACACGAAAGTTTAATACGGGATAGAAATATCCAACTTAATTATAAATAAATATTTATATATATATATATATATAGAAATTACATGTTACTTATATACTTATTACGTTATATTCACTTATGCAATCGTTCCCTATAATAATCTCGAAAGCGATCTTACTATTATTATTCTTTACGTTTAATAAATTCCAACACGCATTTTATATACACTTTAAAACGATTTCTATTAACAACGTTCGATTATTTACATCTCATTTAAAGGTAATATATTTTTTATATATTCATTCGTTAGATAATTCATTTCGTATTATCATCATCATTATTATTATTACATAATATTCGAATCGAGATAATGTTGAAGAGAAAAGAATAACAATTCTACTTTGTTAATGCAAAATAAATTGTAACATTTGTACAAATGTTGACATTAATTATTAACGAAATTTGATAAAAAAGAAAATAACACGTACACCTAAAAACCATTATTTGATTTTATAATAAATTCGATTACGATGAAGTAATTTAACTAAAATATATAATATAATCATTAAGAAAGATTGTTCAGTATTGTAGAATAGAATATACATTTACATAAATGCAAATGACAGACAGATTATTCAACAGTTAAGAGAGATTCTGAATGTCGTAGTGTAGAGAGGACGCATAAAATGAAAACTAAAATATACTAACAGCTCCAGAAATATGGCGACGTTAAATCTATAATTATCCACGTGTATGTACGTATTCGAAAAGGGTTGGAATTTGAATAGGTAGGAAAGCTGATGCTGGTACTATTGCTGATGCTGATGCTGCTGTTGCTGATGTTGCTGTTGCTACTAACATAAAATTGCTTGCTCGTTGCCTAGAGGCATATAAATGCAAAAGGGGCTTAAGTGCAATTACCGATAATCATCGCGGCACCTCGCAGAGTTACGTTGCATTCTTAGAAACGTACGATGTTACCCGTAATTTTGTAGAACGAACCACAAGTAATGCAACAACAACGACAACAATAATGTATAAGAATAACGAGATAAATAATAGCAACGATCAAATCATATTGTTCGAATATGTTGTTTTATATTCCTTTTAACCCTTTCAGTACTGAACACTCTT